TTTTTAAATTAAAACTTCATAAAATTAGATTGATATATATTATTCTCAATTTATTATATATTTTGCTAAAAGTAAAGAGACACTTCCAATTAAATATTGACGTTTTTAAATTAGAACTCCATAAAATTGGATTAATATATATTATTCTCAATTTATTATATATTTTGCTAAAAATAAAGAGACACTTCCAATTAACTATTAGCTTAATTCTTCACAATTGCCACCGTAATCAAAGGATAAGAAAACTAGATTGGAGAGGAGATGTATAAAATAGATGCTAGAAGGTTTTGTCAAGACACTTCACTTAATTTAGAAAATAATAATTATTTTTAAACTTGAATATTAAAGAGATTTTAACTTATACATATCAAAGTATGCAACAATTACTATATGAAAATTTATTTAGGAAAATGAACATAAATTTCGTTGTAACTTCTTGAATTATGTAATTCATACGTGAGATGTAAGGCCACCAAGCCCCCAGATGTTGATCACATTAGTTGTCTTCCAAGAAATCACGCATCACACCATAACTTGGGAGAAGCCAGAGGATTGAGAGGAATTCAATGCCTTCTCCTAGCTGCTTAAGGTGACTAATGTGCTGACTTGAAAATGCTGCATAACAAAGCATCTCCATCCAGACATTCCTAATCAGCTCCCATTTATTTCTTGATTGCTTCAAAACTCTGACTAATTGGAGCACTTCTTCCTGTATGTTTTCAAATGTTCTCTCACTGCAACTTGAAAAAAAAAAAAAAAGAATTTTAGAACGAAATAAAATTACCTTAATTCTGATTTTATAATTTTATAAAAATAAGAAATTAAATAATCAAACCCAGATTCCAGCTCCTCTCTGGGCTCACTGCAAGTAAAAAAAAAAATTATTTTAGAAAGAAATAAAACTATTTTAATTCTAATTTTATAATTCTATGAACATAAGAAATTCAAAAAATCAAACCTAGATTCAATCTTCTCATTGTGCTCAATGCAACTTGAAAAAAAAAAAAAGGATTTTAGAAAGAACTATTTTTAATTTAATTCTAATTTTATAATTCTATTAAAGTGAGAAATTAAAAACATCAAACCTGGATTCAATGTCCTCTTTGGGAACATTATCTTGATGAGAAAGTAATACGGAAGCAGCATTTCTTGAATTAGTTGTAGGTAACTCAAGTCCTTTTAGCTTGTCATAAGTATGATCAAGCCAAAAACTCTTGCTGTGCTCGGGCAATATCAGGGCAGGACACATAGCTAGTAGATACATCATGTAATCTGATACGTATTTACTGGTTTTCTTCATATCATCATCATCATCATGATCCTCTTGCGAGCAGCAAACACTTGTGGCAAGATGCCATACTATGATGCTGTGATCATAGTCCAATTCAATGCTCCATTTTAATTCATCAAATTGTTGCGCATGTTGTATTGCCTTTTCTCCTCTTGTTATCTTGAATCCTTCCTTCCTAAAGAATGAGTTATAAAGGTCCTTGTAATTGTCACCCTCTTTCAAATAATCTGGAACTTCCACAAATTTGGTGAACCAGTACTTGTGCCACATTTCAACAATTTCACGGCCATTAGTGATCTTCAGTAGAATGCCCCATGGTTGGTTCACCTTCCTTTTATTGTAACGCCAACAATATTCCAATAGATCAAATTGACCCATCTGATTTGACCACCTTTCGCTTCGCCGCAATAAGCAAGGGAAGCACTTTAAGGCGACCTTAAATATTTTGCGTACGAACACAATATCATGAAATTGCACAACAAGAATTGCCCAATCAGAAGAAAGCATTACACATGCTGCATAAAGGTCCAGTGCAATAGCTCCACTCAATAAGATGCCAGTTATGCCAATATCAATTCTGGAGAAATGGAATTTTGGCTCATTAATTATGTTGATAAAGAAGAGTAGTAGAACTGAGAGGGAGCTAGCAAAGCTGGTGAAGCGCAATAAGCATCCTAACTTGGTGTAAATTAAAGCAGCTTTGGTGTAAACAACATCAAATATAAATCCGATTTCAGCAGCAAGAAAGTCGACAGCACTAATCGATTTTTTACGTTCGCCTGGGATGAAGAAATCGCACAAATTGATTGCACGAGTGCGGTCTAGACCTGTAGTTTCTTTGATATAAGCTTTTAGCCTTTTTCTAACATCGAAAACATTATGGGATGAGAGGTAATCATTGACATCTGGTCTCATAATTATAAACAATAGATAACCACCCAACACATTTTGGTTTGCTTTTAGATGGTCATTAAGGGCTGAAGAGTTATTGGTTTGAGGACCTTGAGAATTAAAGATATTAGAAATGACTGGTTTTGTTTTCTGTGAATTATTTTGCTTGAGACACAATATCTTCTCTACATATTTAATAATCCCAGCTAAGATCAGAGGGAAACTTAAAAGCGAGATCCAAGAAAAGGTCCACGACAAACAAATGACATAAACGACAAAAATGGCTTTGACAACAAGGATGAGGAGGTGCCTAATCCAAAGCTTGTTGTCTTCAAAGGAATAAGCTGTGATGGTGTCAGGGCCACCAAGATGTAGCAAGAGTAAAGGAGCCCAGTATGCTCTTAAGACATTGATGTCGGGAGATTCTGTATAGGAACCGGAAAGCTTGCCCAAAGTAGCAATGGCAATCCAGTCAGCACCTAAGTAGGCAAACCATAGAACGGTTTTGAAGAATGGATGAATTTTGTATTTCCTACGTCCACCTAAGACAGAGAGGACGATTTGTAAGGTAAGACTAAAAAGAACCAGTCCCCTCACATCCCATTTCTGCCACGCTTCCATCAGCAATTTTGGGTATGAACTCAGAACTGAGCTTGACTTCCTGCTGTTTATAAATAAAATAAATAAATAAATAAATTGCACTAAAAAAAAAATAAAGATACCCTTTTCAAACATATATATACATACACACACAAAAATATTTTACAATATAGATTGCACGATTAAAGTGTAGTTTAATATATGCATTTCTAGAGCCCCCTTAAATAAATCATTTATTATATTATTTTATTAAAAATAATTTAATATTTTTACTAGTCAAATTATATTTTTAACATGCAAACATGCAATCTAAAATGTAAAATATGGATGTTATATATAAATATCCTTTTCCAAGAAACAAAAGCAAATTTTTTCATTATGAAACCAGATCCAAACAAAAGCAAATTATGTATGAGAGAAATTGACAAAAAAATTTGTTGGATCCGTAGAAAGTGGTAGATCATTAATTCTTATATACTAGTATAAAAATTTGAAATTAAATTAAAAAAAAAAAAGGTCTTTTTCAGAAGATTGCATTTGACCCACAGCTTCAAATTTTGTAACCAAAAAAATTTCTCTCAACTATTCAAAGACGGACTATAACTTGCTTATACATATCCAATGACAAAAATACACATTTAGTTAATTTAAAATCTGATATGCCTGTGATATATCATAACAATTGAAACTCTTTTAACTATATAATTAAGAATAAGCTAGCAGTGGACTTACCTCTCAGCCATCTCCGAGATCTCTGGGTAATGAACTTGAAAGCTAACGACTTTTTGGCAATTTTAAATTAACAATACCAACAATAGCAACAATTCCAGGAGATATCAAGAAAATGGCAGAGTTTCTGGGTAGCGAATCGGAGTCCGATATGAGGAATTCCACCCACGGAATCAGGCCCAGATCATTCCCTCACCGCTGCCCCAAAAACTCCTCTGTCTCAGATCTATACCAACAAGACACGGTGCAGCAGAGTTGATGGAAAACTGAAAAGGCCGGCGATTGAGAGAAGAAAGGAGAGACCCAGAGGCTGCCCCGCTGCTGTAAGACGTGGAAGATGATCCGCGGCCACTGCGAGGTGAAGAAGATAGATCTCCGGCAGTGGAACGATGTGGATGACGAAGTTGCTGCTAAAGGTGCCAAGAGGATGAAAACGAGATGGTGACAATGATGATGATGGCTATGGTGATCGTGATTAGGGGATAAAAAGGAAAAAAAAAAAAAAGTCTGGATGGTGATGGTGATGACGATGATGATGCGGGCGATGATGATGGAAAAAATGGGGGATGTAGGGAAGCGGAGAGGTGGACGGCTGCGTATACCCGAGGGGAGAAGAATCGAGAGAGAAAA